TAAAGTTTCAGCCCATAATTATTAATTGCCACTTGTTTTTAAACGTAATGTCAATCTAACGTTGACTTCACTTTAATTACGTTGAGAAGTATAGAAAATGAACGAACGAACAAATGTCTTGCTCTGTTAAATGGATTTCCCCCACCTACTCCCAAAACTGGGGGGGGGGGCCGTGTAATCACTTCACTGAATGATCCTAGGATCTGTATTATAAGAAAGAGAACCCTATCAACTTTTCCCACACCACATTGCCTATCTCTGTGTTTCCTGAACCATATTTAATATCTCCAGATCATATTACGGGACAGAAGACTGTGAGTATTTTCTGGTGAGAGAAAGCAGAGTTTAGAACAAGTATGTTACAGGCAACTCTATTAGCTGTAAGGTGTTTTTTGAGTATGCGGGGCGTAACAATGTCTTTTCATGGTATGGTGGAGAGAAAATAAGCATTTGTATAACCATTACCCATGCTTTTCTTGTTTTGCTTTGGAGGCAGCTTAAGGAGACACCTCTTCCAAATTTGTCTTGCTCTGTTAAATGGATTTCCCCCACCTACTCCCAGAACTGGGGGGGGGGGGGTGGCAAAAACAAACCAGGGGNGAGGCAACAAGGAGCATAATACTCAGTATACTGTTTTCAGTGTTGGTGGGTGGAGGGTTTATTTTGAAAAAAAATTGTATGAGGAATTGTGGGTTTTTTTAAGTAACTTTTAATGCTTTGTGAAGAAAAGGCCCTCAATGGCCAAAATCCTATTGCTTAGTGTAGTAAATCATTCTAGAACAGGCCCATTGATTCAATTGAGTTTTAGTGAGTCAATTCATCTGCAAGTTCCATCACATTGAATAACCAGATTTGGGCTAGTATTTGATTAGAAAGATGTATGTATGTATGTATGTATGTATGTATGTATGTATGTATGTATGTATGTATGAATGAATGAATGAATGAATGAATGAATGAATGAATGAATGAATGAATGAATGAATGAAGTATTTTTTATATTGTCCGAATGAATGAATGAATGAATGAATGAATGAATGAATGAAGTATTTTTTATATTGTCCATAGGACCAATGTACGTACACTGTGGGGTGGTTCATAGCAATAACAGTGGGATAGAAGAAAACATAATTTCTGCAGTAAAATTAAACTAAATTATTACTATAACATATTAAAAACACATTCTAACGGGCAGCAATTAATTATAAGAGGCTGGTACTCTCAGTGGTTCTTTAGCTGGCAAGTTCTGAAAAGCCTGCCGGAATAAAAATGTTTTAAGAGACTTGTTGAAAGACAGGGGGGAGGGGGCTGGGCAGATTTCAGGTGGCAATTCATTTTACAGATGGGGTCCCACTGCCGAGAAGGCCTCGCTCCTTCTTCTCTCCCTTCAGGCCTCCATTGGGTTTTGCGCCCTCAGTCATCCTACCTGGGAAGCGCAAGTAGGCCAGGCAGCAACATTTTTTTTGGGGGGGGGAAGGTGTTCTGCCATGGACTGAGGTCCCAAACCTTCTAGGGCTTTATAGGTCAAGACCATCCTCTTGAAGCTGATACAGAAAGAGACTGGTAGCCAATGCAGGACAGCCTCGATTGGGAGATATGACAGTATTGATTAACTCCCCACACAAATATACTGAATAGATGTCACCTGTTCCCCACATCGTTAGCATTAAGAAGAGTTTCAGAAAGCATGTCTTCTAAGCAAGGCTTGAACCCTTGTTTGCCTTTTTAGAATTAAATAAATAAGACATTCCCTCCACAGAAAGATGCCCTTTGTCCTTTCAGTCGGCACCTTCTGCTAGCGTGTCTACTGTCTCCTTGCTTTCAGAAAATGGTCCTTCCAGTCGGCACCCTCTGTCTCCTTGCTTTCAGAAAATGGTCCTTTCTATCTCTCCTGACTGAGGGTACAATCCTGTTGCCCCATACACAGACCGACAGCTCTCAAAAGTGATGCCCAGTGAGCTCAATGAGGTTCACTCGCCCTTCAGATGATAAGAAACTACTCTGAATGTTAAGGAACTACTTATTGCTGGGTCCAGTGAGCTCAATGAGGTTCACTCACCCTTCAGATGATAAGAAACTGAATGTTAAGGAACTACTTATTGCTGGGATTTCTCCCCATTAGTCAGGCTTCCCAAAGAACAGCTGATTGCTGCCTCTTGCTTTACCAACAAAGATGCTTGCGGCATCTTAAAAGCTAACACTTTCCTTATAGCAGGGGTTTTGGTAGACCGTAGTCATTGGGTTTATGGCCTATAGTTTTCAGAAAGTCTTTGTTCTTTAAGCCCAGGATTCATAAAGAACAGGTCCTCTCTCCCATCTTCACTGCCTCTTTCGCACCCTCCCTAATCCTCCATATGCCATGCAAGGGGGCAGTTTCCTTGATAAGACCCATTGACAATTTAGATAAGAGAGAATTGCACCCATTAATTATTGGACGGCTTGTGTCTGATAAGATTTCTACTCATAGAAAAGGCCTATTGTTCTCCCTCGCTTGTGTTGTCTGATAAGATTTGGACTCATAGAAAAGGCCTATTGTTCTCCCTCCTAAATCATGTACATAGTAGTGGCTTTAAAGAGATGCACAAATTCACAGCCAACATTCATGCAGTGCATGTGGAGTTCCCCTAACTTTAGCTTGGTGGATGTAGGAGAAAAAAGCCAAATATGCAGAGGATACATCCTGGATATGTTCCGTTCCATTCAACATCAGGATTCTTAGGAGGGTCCTTTCCAAGAAGACTGGATAGTTCAATGGTTTAGGTCTCTGCCTGCAGAGTCAGAGGTTGGGGAGATGATTCCTCCCTCTGCCTCCTTGTCAAGGGCTGGACTCAATGATCCATTCCAGGTCTAAGATTATTATAAGACCAGATGCATAGGGAGTTGCACTCAGTTTTAGTGGTTTTAGAAGTGGAGTCCTTGCTGCTAGGCATCACTAGATGTGGTTTAGTACCTGTACACCTAGGTCGTTCATTCAGCCTACAATCTCAAGCTTGGGACTAAATGCAGACCTTCCAGCCACAGTATTTCGAGCTTTTTTGGGTTTCTTCCTAAATTCATTGCTTTTTGGAACCATGTGGCTCAGGGGCCCACATATGCAGGCCCCTGAATTGTTCCTGCAACCCTTCATGTCCCCCCCCCTTAAACAAATGCCATATTTACTCAGCAATTCATAGGGTTCCTTCCAGCTCTGTCATTAACAAATGATTGATGTATCTGGAAACCCCCTTTTTGCCCTCTAGTGGCCTTTTTTTATATAGAAAGAAAAAGATGTGTGGGTGCCCCTCCACATGTTGGGGTGCAAAAAAGTGGCAACATTGCTCCAGACGGCACAAGAGAACTTTTTGAATGGTCTTCTTATAGCTGAGGTTAGGGTTGTGGGTCAGACTCAAGGGTGCTAGGGGTAAATTTGACCCCCCCCCGGGGGTTGCATGTGATCTACTCATGTTCTAATCCAGTGAAGACATCTGGGGAACTCAAAAGCTTGCACACTCTTGTGAAATTTGGATTGGTCCTAATGAAGGTATTGTGCCAATTTGTAGGTTTTTAAAAATCTCTTCTCCTCTGGTCAGCCACAGCTTCTGGTTTGTGCATCCTGTCTTCCAAAGCCAGCTAGGGAAAGAGTTTTAACCTAACCTGCATTTGGAGGCTACTAGACTGGGGAAAGCTATATTAGGTACTGTAGGTTAGAAAAGGACCAGGCAAACGTTGCTCGGAACTGAAACTCCTGTAAATATTTACCGTTGACCATGCTGTCTGATGCTTTCAGAATCTAAAGTTCAGAACATCTGCTGGGGCCAAAGGTTCTCCAGCCCTGACATAGAGGATTGATAAGGGAGCTTAATGTGACTTGATTCTATGGAGTGGCCATTAGTTATTGGCCTATTGTTGTTGTTTAGTCGTTAAGTCGTGTCCGACTCTTCGTGACTCCATGGACCAGAGCACGCCAGGCCCTCCTGTCTTCCACTGCCTCCCAGAGTTGGGTTAAATTCATGTTGGTCGCTTTGATGACACTGTCCAACCATCTTGTCCTTTGTCGTCCCCTTTTCTTCTTGCCTTCACACTTTTCCAATATCAGGGTCTTTTCCAAGGAATCTTCTCTTCTCATGAGATGGCCAAAGTATTGGAGCCTCAGCTTCAGGATCTGTCCTTCCAGCGAGCACTCTGGGTTGATATTGGCTTGTATTTGTGATTTAACGCTGACAATGAAGAAATAGGAATTGTTCAGGATTTTGTAGATGGCAGTTCAATTATCAATCAAAATGGAGATTTCAGCCAAGAAATCCGAGGAAGACGGAGACTCAGAAGGGCGGCCATTGCTCTGTGTGGATGTGAAAGCTAGACAGTGAAGAAAGCTGACAGGAAAATAGACGATTCCTTCAAAATCCAGTGTTGGAAGGGAGCCTGATGGAGACAATGGGCCACCAGAATGACATAGAGGTGGATTCTAGATCATATGATATCTGAACTCTCAGCAGAAGCTAAAAATAGTGAAAAGGAGGCTTTTGTATTCTGGACATAAGCCACGACTCACTGGAAAAGATGATGCTACGAAAAGCGAAAGGCAGTAAGAAAAGAAGACAACCAAATACAAGATGGATTGGCTCAATGAAGGAAGTCATGACCTGTAGTTTGCAAGACATGAGCAGGACTGTTACTAACAGGACTTTCTGTAGGTAATACTGTAATTCATAGAGTCACTATAAGTTGGAAATGATTTGAAAGCACATAGTAACAACAACACCGATAATTAGAGATCGTGGTGCAACCTGAAGTTGGCATGAAATGTTTACTATTTCTGTCGCTGTTGAAAAGGATGGTTGGTGGAGGGGACCTCAGCTTTCAGCATGGATCACACCCTCCAGGAGTCCCCCAATGCCCCCAAACATATTGTCTGTACCATAGGTGGTGGCTATAGCAGTGGCTCCCAACCTTGGGTCCCCAGATGTTCTTGGAGTAAAACTCCCAGAAACCTTTACCGCCAGCTGTTCTGGCCAGGATTTCTGGGAGTTGTAAGTCCAAGAACATCTGGGGACCCAGATTCACAGGCTTTATAAAAAGTCCTGCTCCAGCCTAAAATACGTTTTGGGGTGGAATGGTGTGAAATGCCCATTTACTTCTCTTAAAGAATGTGATTGCAGTCTCCGGCTTTTTTTTTTTTTTGGGCCAGTGAGGTGCAAGAACTTCAATGTAAGACCAGGTCAAACGTTCAGTATGATTTTATGCAAGTCTGGTCAGAAAGGTAAGTCCCACTGAACTCAATAGGATTTGCTTTTAGGCAAGGAGGTCCATGGATAGATTAATGGGCTCATAAGACCTAGGTTTGGTTCCCCGGCTCTACCATGGAAACTCACTGGAGGGAGTGGAACTGATAAAGCCACTCCTTAAATACCTCACTTATCTTGAGAAGCCTATTAGGGTCACTGTAAGTCGGTGCTGACCTGACAGCTCATAACCACAACAAGAATGATGGAGATACACAGAAGTGAAGCCAACATCTTGATGCTTCCTTTTAACTAAGATGAAACCTGAGGAGTGCAACTTGGTCTTTCGTTGCTAAGGGCCAATTTGCATCACTCCTTGTTCCCAAACTGAGCATTTTGTGTGTGTACGTATGACCTACTGTTGCCACTACTATTTGCAATATGAAGGGCAAAGTCTGCTCTGGATCTTGAGAGCTGTCCCTGTTCTCCGTTTTTGGATTCTCTTGAGCAGAACATGTGCCACGTTGTAGAAGTGCATTTTTATCTATTTATCTAGGTTTACAGGAGCAAATTGTTGCATTGGTGCTCCTTCTGTGGGGTCATCGTCCTTCCTTACCTCCATCACCATTGGAATCTTAATTGTGATGTAGTAAGTCTGAGAGCTGGACCATAAAGAAAGTGACCGCCGAAGAATTGATGCCTTTGAATTGTGGTGCTGGAGGAGGCTCTTGAGAGTCCCCTGGACTGGAAGGAGAACAGACCTATCTATTCTAAAGGAAATCAACCCTGAGTACTCACTGGAAGGACAGATCCTGAAGCTGAGGCTCCAATACTTTGGCCATCTCATGAGAAGAGAAGACTCCTTGGAAAAGACCCTGATGTTAGGAAAGTGTGACGGCAAGAGGACAAGGGGACGACAGAGGATGAGATGGTTGGACAGTGTCTGTGAAGCGACCAACATGACATTGACCCAACTCCGGGAGGCAGTGGGAGATAGGAGGGCCTGGTGTGCTCTGGTCCTTGGGGTCACGAAGAGTCGGACACGACTAAACGACTAAACAACGAAGCCCGGATAATGTACTACATTTTTCAGAGCACCGTGGACTGGCTGAGTCCTTGATCTTCTAGGATTGTAATGACTTCTCCTAGGATCTCAACACTTGTGGTGGGATCTAAAGTCTTCACAGGGCTGTTGGTCTAACTGGTGCAAGCCGGCAGCTTGTGGAGATGGTGAAAGAAGCTGTTCCTGGAAAATGCCACCTAATGTTCCTGTGGAGATGGTGAAAGAAGCAGTGTGCTGTTCCTGGAAAATGCCACCTAATGTTCTGGGGATTCCCCTTCCACACTGATGGTTGGCTAAAATAAAACGTTAAAATGGCCTATGGGCAGCTTGGGTTTTCAAAACAGGGGCCAAGGAGGGAGCAGCAGCAAAGCGAACCAATGATCTCAGCTGGAAAAGACAGCAAATACCTCTTGCATATATTAACAGGGTTTCCATAATACAGATAAGCACAGGCATAATTGGTTCTTTAAATAGATCAAAGTAAGAAAATGCAAGGAGGGTGAGGCCAAGCTGCTTGGTATCAGTGGCAAGGAAATGTTGCGCATACAGATGCCTGCGGCACATTTAATGAACACAGGCTCCTGTTGTAATATCAGGGAGATTACAGATAACACCCTAAAGGGCCCGCTAGAGTAACAGAGTTGGATGGGGAGGCTGATTGATTACTGCTTATAAATACCCTCTTAAAGCCTGTCCTCTCCCTGTGTGCCAACATCTACATTTGTATCTAATCTGCAGATAGAGACATACGCACATCTACATCTTAATTATTTTTATATGATACCGTACAGTACGTGCTGAATGGGTGCCCAAGAGAACATTTTTATTACATCTGGGCAGCCCATAATAGCAATGCTCGTGGGCTCCATAGAGAGCTGTTCCTGCGCCAGCGTGGTGTTTAGGGTTACCTTGAACGGTAGAAGTTATTTTCCCATGTTAAGGGTTTAAGAGTTATGCCAAAGGCCAACTCTGATGATCCGTCATGGTTTTGAGATGATCCCTGGCAGCAGGTAACTGGAAAGGATCGATTCAGCTTTGCAGAGGAAATCCATGAGTCGTTTGTTGTGCCATCAGGTCAGAACTGACTTATAGTGACCCCGAGTAGGGTCTCGAGGTACGTGAGGTTTTTAAGAACTGGTTTTAGTAGTTCTCCTCCCCTAGTGAGTTTTCATGGCAGAATTGGGGGATCGAACCAGGGTCTCCTGAGTCCTGCTCAGGTTCCTCTATCCAAAAAGATTCATAAGAAGAGAAGATATGGAGCTGGCAATCAACAGATGAACAATTGAATGAAAGACAAAGCAATGACACAGATTTTTATATTGAGCAGGTCACAATCCTTTTTATTGGTCTCTCTCTCTCTCTCTCTCTCTCTCACACACACACAGAGAGAGAGAGAGAGAGAGAGAGAGAGAGAGAGAGTTACTAAGTTCTTCTGGCTCCTGTTGGACAAGCTGCCCACTAAACCACAGTGGTTCTTACACATTATACAGTGGTTCTTACATATTGGCTGATGCAAATTTTCTGCTAGCCACCCCTTTGATTTTCCATGTCCAGCTGGGGTGTTGAAACTAGTTCTTCTGGCTCCTGTTGGACAAGCTGTCCACTAAACCACAGTGGTTCTTACTGTACATATTGGCTGATGCAAATTTTCTGCTAATCTGTGATTTTTCTTTCTTTCTTTTGTTCTCCTTTGTTGTTGTTTTTTATAATGAAGAAGAAGAAGAAGAATTAAGTGGACATTCTTCCCAAAGGCAGTCAGAGCTGAAAGAGGAATCAATGAATGAATGTCAGATGTTAGCATAGGTGGAACAGGGCTTAAGTGGACATTCGGCCCAAAGGCAGGCAGAGCTGAAAGAGGAATCAATGAATGAATGTCAGATGTTAGCATAGGTGGAACAGGGCAGAAAATATTTTTGTTCTCCCCAAAAAACAAAACAAAAAAAACAAAACAACAAAACAACACAAGCAAATAAAGATTGCCTGTGTTTTGTAACGAAGATCTCAGTGTGAAATGTTTGCTTTTTCAGACTGGCAGAACATTTTACAAATTAATGTTTAACTCTCTTGCAGCACGGAGAGGGACCTCTGTGTCAGGATCAGTAAAATGTTTATTATTTACATGATTTCTCTCTTGCTTTTTTCCCTTAATGGGGAGACGCAATGTAACACAAGGTCTGCATTTGTTCAGGGGGTACATATGCAGTAGTCCAGCTGTAATAATGTTAAAGTCCTGTATTTCTTGAAGATTTCTAGCTCTCTATTCATACCTGAGGGTCATTTTTAAAAAAGCAAAAAGCAAAGCATGCTGCTTATATACCACCCCATAGTGCTTAAAGCACTTGGTGGTTTACAAGTTAATTATGCAGGCCACACATTGCTTCCCCCAACAAGCTGGGTACTCATTTTACCGATCTCAGAAGGATGGAAGGCTGAGTGAACCTTGAACTTGTTACCTGGGATTGAACCCCAAGCTGTGAGCTCAGTTTTGTCGCCAGGACAGCAGGTTAAACTCTGTGCCATGAAGCTCTTAACAGAAAAAAAAATGTTGGTTCTAGGGAATACAATAATTTTCTGTGGCATAGATGTGCCACTTTGTGTTTTGAGATTATAGCTTCTGTAATTCTCCACACTTCTGGTTCTGCAGCCTTTCCAGTCCAACACATTTTGGTGCCTGAGGCCAAGGGCACGTTGGGCCAAGCGCATGTTGGGCATCCTGCCCCATTACACCTTCAGAAGCTGTTATTCAGGGGAGAATCCTCTCTCGGTTCCCCCACCTTCACAGATATGCTTGGTGAGACCATGTTAACCCGGCAGTTAAGATCTAGCCAGGGGGCCCTTTTGAAAGAGCCGTCCCTCAAGGAGATAAGAGGGACGGCTTGTAGACAAAGGGCCTTTTCGGCAGCTGCCCCCAGACCGCACCATTGCCAGTGGCTTCTGGGCGGCGTACAACAATATTAAAAACATTAAAAACATTTAAAAAGATAATATAAAATAGCATATATTAAAACAATATTAGAGCATTTATCTGAATTGCATTTTAATCATTTTATCTTTTATTGTATTTTAATTGAATTTTTATTGTTGTAAGCCGCCCAGAGACCTTTGGGTAGAGTGGGTGGCATATAAGTTAAATAAATAAATAAATAAATAAATAAATAAATAAATAAATAAATAAATAAATAAATAAATAAACAGACAGGCAGACAGACAGACAGACAGACAGACAGACAGACAAACAAACAAACAAACAAACAAATAAAGGGCTTTTTAGTGGCTACTTCCAGATGGTGGAACTCCTGTCCATAGAAGGCTAGTCTACAACCTGTACCATGTCCTTATTTTCTATGCAAGCATCTGGCAATGGAATAGGCTACAAGAAAGGAGCTTTTAAAGGGAATAATGTACTTCCCCTTCCATGTTTTGGGTCTTTAACATGTTTTTATTCCATTTAAGTCTTTTATTATTATATGTTTAGTCAGAGTTGAATATTATAACTTAGGTATATTTTTTAAAAAGTTTTTTTTTTGTAATGTTGAGCTCTCAACATTAAGAAAGCAAGGTATAAATGATACAACTGAAAAATCTTGACTTCTCCATGCAGTTTTCACATGTCATCTCTCTCTTTCATCTTGAGTGGGGAGGGAGGCCTGGCCCCAGGGCCTCACATAAGCCAAGAAGGCCTTTTGAGACCAATCAAGAGATTCCCCCCCCCCGCCCCCACAATCCCTGGGAAAATATTTTTGGAAAAAAATGGAGAATTGTGCTTCCAGAAGTCTTGGGGGGGGGGCAATTATATTGTTACATGGCACTCTTCCAGATTTGGTTGCCAGAGCGTGGGAGGGCAAACAACATTGTATTAAAAACAATATTGTTACACGGCACTCTTCCAGATTTGGTTGCCAGGGGGGGGGAGGGCAAACAACATTGTATTAAAAACAGAATTTTTGAAAACATCTAGTCATGTTGAACTTTGTGGACATTTTTTCTGAAGGAAGGGCAGAAAATGGGGTAGTCACCTCCCCCCCTCAGACCCTGCCTAGGTTTGTCCACCTCAATTTCAAACGTCAGCTTTGGTCACTGTAAGTTACTTTGTGACTTAGAGATAGATCGGGTGGCCAGATGCAAAAGAAGATGACGCTGAGGTTCTGTACCACGTGAATTGACTGATGGACTGACCGATTGATTGATTGATTGATTGATTCATTCATTCATTCATTCATTCATTTGTATATTTCCATACCTCTGACCTAGTGTCCAACACTACTCTAAGCGGTTTACATATAAAAACCAATAACCCAAACATCAACATTTTAAAGAACACAAATACAGTAACTAAATAAACCCCAAGTAACTATGGGGGCACCTACAGAAATAACTCACAAGACATTGCTCTTAAAAGCTTCCTCAACCTTTGAGTCTTAGGCATCCTCGTAAATGATGGAAAGGAGAAGCTTCCACCCGGAGCCCCATTCCATAAAGTGTCCTTTACATGTCATGCCACAGCCACAAAAACGATACCTGACCAGCTTCCACCCGGAGCCCATTCCATAAAGTGTCCT